TGTGCCAGGAACCCTAACTGGAGTGCAGGGTGAAGCTAATCCAGCACCAGTACTTCCAGTAGAGCTAACCTCTGAGTTAAATGGGCTTGTTGCAGCGAGAGTCTATACAGTGATCCCTCTTTCTAGTTGGGCCCAACTAGTAACGACCCAACAATGAATATGTTTTTAGATGGGCAGGCAGCAGCCCGCGTTCTTTACCAAGCCGTAGGCCACAAAATTGAATTGGGCTTGCGACATTTTGCATTGGCGACAAATTTGACGAGCACATATTTGCGAGTTTGCAGGTCAACCAATCGGGGCCCAGCCTCGGTTTTCCCGCAATAGTAAACGTTGGTCCAACTTGAAATTCAAGTTGGGCCCACATGGTGCAGCTTACAGGCAGTGCGAGCTGGGCGACAGGTGGCGCGCTGCTTGCAATTTTTCCCAAGCCTTTTTCCGCACCATACGTTATGTGTTTCCGCTAACCAATTAGGCGACTGCGTCTTCTCGCCCAGTTTTCCTTGCTTGCATTTCTCGACCGTGTACCCTCTGCCCCGTCACAATTCTGTCCCTTAATAAAAAAATACGGACATATTGGCCCTTTCAAGTTGGACCCGCCTTCACTATTTTGACCACTCGCTTTAAGTAGAGGGTAAGTGCGCCCATAACCCCCTAGGCTCTGCACCTGTAACCCTTCCCCGAGGACCAAGGGCAACTCCAGCGTGTATCTTGACACCTCCATCTCGCTGGGATATGCAGAAGACACAAGCGCCTCTACAGCGCTGTCACCTCTCCGGTGCACACTAAGAATTGAACCCGGGTCACCCAGCTCCAATACCATATCACAACTCAAGCACTAACCACTGAGTTAAAAGGGCTTGTTCAGTAGGAGGTAAGTGGGCCCACAACCCCCCAGGCTCTACACGTGTAACCCTTCCTCGAGGACCAAGGGCAACCCCAGCGTGTATCTTGACACATATCATGGGCTCTTCCCCGCATAAACCACCCATGGAGTGACTATTTCGGCTGGGGGGAACTGAAATTGTGGGGGGGAGGCAGGGGGGGCAGGGGTTCGATTTTGGGGGGCTGGGGGAAATCGAATGCGGGGAGCAGGAAAGAATTTGGGCTGTGTGTGGTTCAGAGGAAGGGGATATCCGGGGGCGGGGGGGCTGAGGAATTGGGGGCCGAGGGGATTGAAGGCGAGGGAGAGGGGAATCGAATTTGAGGGAGGAGGGAATTGAAATCGAGGGAGGGAGGAATTGAAATCGAGGGACGAGGAGTTAAAATCAAGGGACAGAACAATCGGTCTACAATCTAGGTCCCCTTGTTCAAATGTCGAAAGTCACAGGAGCCCTGGCGAGAGCGGGAGAATCCAGGCAGTTCTACGGGATTAACAATTTGCAGATCTTTAACTTTTAAAATTCCCAACCTAAATGTATACTCTGGCTATAAGAATGACATCCTCAGTGAAATCTGTATGCCTCGCAAGTTGAGAGATAGGGACAAGGGGGAGGAGTTGAGTTGAGATGCAAGGGGAAATGTGGGGAGGTGCAGTAGTGCAGTGGGCTTGAATGTGCCACACTGTTTGCGCAGTGCACCCCTCTATGCCCCGCAGGTGGAGTGAGGGAGGAAAGGGAGAGGAGTTGAGATGTAGAGGGGGGGGTGTGGGGGGCGTGGGCATGGGCTAGGGCACTTACCTCCACTACCAAACAAGTCAAAAAATGTTCGGCGGGGTGGAGAAAAAATACCCAGTGTTATCAGATGTTACTAGAGGGTTTGCTGTCATGCTGGTTCAGAAAGTGGTCAACTTGGGGTAATGGGATAACGGGGTGATGGGGTGATAGGGAAAGGGGTGATGGGGTAACGGGGTGATGGGATGATGGGGTGGGTAGAATCTCACTGCTTTGGAACTTGTTCAATGTCTGGGAGATAAAGCCCAGGCTCGATTGTGAGCACCTGTGAATGCAGGTTCACACGAAGGCAAAGGAAAGGAGAGAGGGGGAATAGGTGCATGTTAAAAAGTGTTACTTACCCACCTGGTATTTGAAGCCAGGGTAATACCTGGTGCAAGGGAGAGTGGGTAGGTGTGATAAAGTATGTTACATGATCCAGGATGGGGAGTGCTGGCTTGCTACATGCGATTGTCGGTAGGTATCCAAGGTGCAATAAATCGGCGTGTTTACTCTTTTTTTTTTTTTACCGTATAGAACGGGATCGTACAAAACGGTCGTTTAATATGAAAAAAACGGTCGAAAGTGGTGTTTTTGTGACTGGTGCAAAAAAACGGCCGTTTTATATGGTCATTTTCTCTTTACCGTTGTAAAAGTTGGTGGTTCACTTTGTATCGAACCACGAACAGGTGGAGTGTATGAGTCTCGTTTGAAGACTACTAGGAGGAGGGTCAGAGCCGGAGTAGGAGGACTAGGAGGAGGAGAACTAGGAGGGTGAAGGGAGGACTAGCCACTAGACTAGACCGAGAAGGACAATGAAAGGAGGTCTAGGAGGACAAGGATGGTGTTTTAGATGCACGTAGGCTGTCACTGTTTTTTCAGAAGTAAAAAAAAAAAGTTAACAAAAAAACGGCAGAAATTACACAAATCTGTCGCATAAAACGACCATATAAAAGGACCGTGTAATCCGGAAACCTTTTTTTTGCACCTTGTAGGTAACTGAGTAGCTGCCAGAATTAGCAAAATATGTCAGTGGACGACATATGCTCTGTCTGTCTGCAGTTGATGAGACTGGAAGACCCGAACCTCCTTTGGTAACTGGACTGAATATCTTAGTGCCTTTTAAGTCAACTCAAAATTCACCTCTCGCGCACTATGAAATGGAAGATCCAAGCCTACATTAGTAACTGGGCGGAATGCCTGTTCATCTGACCGTGAGTTTGGTGGGACATAATTAAGCGTAGCAAAATATTAAAATTCTTGAGAACTCTACATGTTGGCATGATTAGAGAGTTATGGCTGGTTTACCCACCACATCACATCACACCACACCATACGCATGCAATGATGGCTTCAGGGACTTCACAGTATCACAAGATGACACGATATCACAGCATACGCAAGGAGTGATGGCTAGTGTGACTGTACAGAGCATGCTGCTGCTACTCCATGCCATGGCATGTCACACAAGCATACTGATAACTTTTTGCAACTACAGCATAAAAGAAAACCTAGGCCCAAGTCTCAAGTGTAAGTCTGAAATTTCAGCAGTTGCAATGTGGAAACCAACAAACTGTCATGTCTGTCGAGCCCCAACCGATGGTTGGCCATGCATGCATGCAACCACCCATGCCACCATGCATGCATGCTGTTCCATCACCCATGCCATGCATGTATGCCAATCCATCACCCAGGCCGGGCGGGCTGGGGCTGGGCCGGGCCGGGCCGCCAAAGGTCGGGCCGAGTTTAAAAAATGGGCGGCTCGTGCTTGGCCAAGACCGGGTCGTGCCACGGGCCGGCCCGGCCCACCCCTGCCATGCTCATGCCTATGGTGAATGTCCCTCAGAGTGGCTCCTGGTTTGCACATCGCTATGCACTCCACCATTGACTCCCGCACCTCCTTGTACACTACGCTCTGCCACGTCAGCACAAGAAATCTATGGCCCTTTGCTACATTAGCACATTTTACGAACGGCTTTCTGTCATGTCAGCATGACAAGATGGTGATATGAGGTGTTCTATGAATTGGCGAGTCGGCAGCCAATGTGGATTTCATGGACGTGAGGGCAGGACAGGAAGACACACCAACCTAATGTTCGCATCGCAAGTTTATGCCTGAGCAGGGGAGAATCTCGCAAAGGGCGGCCACATTCGAGTGATGTCCAACGCATAGCCGAAATACTCACAACCCGCGTCCACTATTAGTGCCTCCCCACGTTGCACCTGCCAAGAGTAAGAGATGTCACCACATAATGTTTGTGAGGAGAGCTCTCTGTCATAGAAAAGCAATTACATCTCATCTTAACTTCTACTGACCCACAATCTGCATCCACCAGTAAAACCTTTCTTGATTGCACTTGACACACTCTAGTGAGCCACACTGCCCTAAACACACTCTAAAGAGCCACACTGCCCTAAACACACTCTAGTGAGCCACACTCCATTGCCTCACCGGCTTGTCATTCCTCAGGTAATGCACGACGCATGCACTTGCACCACTGGCGGATACCTGGAGGGAATGGGAGGGGGGTTTTTTCTAGTCAACTCATTACACACGGGGTTTTGAGTCGACTCAAAAGCAGACTCATTAGACGTGGTTTTGAGTCGCTTCAAAAGTCGACTCATTACACGCGGTTTCGAGTCAACTCAAAAGCAGACTCATTACACGCGGTTTTAAATCGAATCGACTCAAAACGACATGCCAGGATAGGCGACGACCTGGAGAGAATAGGAGGGCGAGGTGTGGGCGGAAGGGGGTGGGGCGGGGGGGTGGGGGAGGAGATTATGTGTGTGTCAAGGGAACCGAAGGGACTGGAAGCAGAGAAGCGCATGGTCAATTGGCAGTGACGACGCACCATCTCAAGACACCTTCAGTCTAGACAATCACTAGGGAGCCTATTTTTGGCCTTAAGATGATTATGGTGGAGACTGTTCAGGCTTTCTATAGACTGAGAACTTCAAATTGATGAAAAAATTCGTACCGGTATTTTACCCACATTACTCTCGTACCTCGCCTCACCAACCTCACACCGCTGGCATTGCACTTACATCCCTGCTCGTTTTGCATACTCTTGCCCCGCCCCTCAATCCCGCTCAGCCCCTCTACACTTCACTTCTGCTACTCACTAAAATCGCTTCGGCCCCCGTCTTTTGCACTCATAATCAATCAATGCAGTGTTATGTGCTTCATGCGGCAAAGAGCCTCCCATGTGGCTTCTCAGCAAACACAGCCCACCCAGGCCTAAAATCAGCTCAACTCGACTCAACTCTCAACTCAACACCCTATACTCACGCGAACCGCTGTACACCCCTCCGTTTGCACTCAAACTCGATCACAGCAGTGACGTGCGCCTCATGGGGCAACGACTCTCCTATGTGTCCCTCTTTATGGTGGGCAGAACCACACCCTCCTCCTCCTCCTCCTCCTCCTCCTCCTCCTCCTCCTCCTCCTCCTCCTCCTCCTCCTCCTCCTCCTCCTCCTCCTCCTCCTCCTCCTCTGCAAGCATCATCTGCAAGCATTGGAGAGAACGACGGGCTTGAGGGAATGAGGGGCTTGAGAGAATGAGGGGCTTGAGAGAATGAGGGGCTTTGGAAAAGGTCCTTGCCCCATTGCATCATGCCATATTGCACCATGCCACACCACACCGTGCCACACTATCAACAAGATGTGAAGTGGAAACGCACTTAGGAATCTGAGCTGAACAACAAGCTACTACCACCATGCCATGCTTGATGCTACCTCTCTTGGCAACCCACGTCAGCTCGTTGCTGTGGAAGAAGCAGTATTGTATCCCAAACTCCCCAAGTTTAATGGCAAGGACTTCCTGACGAGGACGACTCAGTTTGGGCGGACCTCGTCTCTGCTTGAGCTGTGGCTGTACTATTTTGGAGAAACAACTAAACCAACGGCAGATGCATCGGCAGCAGAGAAGCGGGTATTTAAGCAGTGCAACAAGGAGGCATTTTTGTACCTTCTCAATAGCCTTCATGAGCAGCAGCCGAAGTCCCTTTTTCCATGCTCTTCTAGGGCTAAGAATGCTGAGGAGGCATGGAAAAGGTGCAAGGCTATGCACCAGTCAAAGACAGAGAGCAGCCAAGCCGAGATGCGGAGCCGTTTCATGAGTCTAAAGATGGAAGGAGACGAGTCCGCTCAAGCCTACCTTCAATGGGCGGAAACCATATTGGAGGAGGAGGCAGCTATTGATTTGGAGATCCCAGAGTCCCTATTCAAGAACGTGATCCTCACCGGCCTCATGCCGGAGTGGGATACCATCCGCACAACTCTACAAGTCCTCATGCAACTGATGAAGACCCGAGAGCTCATCTTCAAAGCCCTCATCAACGAGCAGCAAAGCCGAGATCTTGCACGCAGCAAGAGGATCAAGGAAGGAGTTTGGAGTGCTGCAGCAGCAACAAGACATGACAACCAAGTCCAGAGGCAGGGAAGTATGCACCAAAACCGCCCTCAACCTCACTATGGTACGAAAATTCAGCCCCAATTCAACCCTTGTTTTCCTTCTCGTTTTCCCCTGTCAAGTCATCCCCTTCAAAGAAGTCTTAATTTCTAGTTAAATTCGTTCCACCAAAGTCAATTTCAACATAGAGTTCCATCAAGAGTGAATAATGTAAGTTGTGGTCAAGGGTCTAATGTCAATGAGTTCTATTTTGAGTGTTTATATTGTCGTGAGTGGGGTAATTCATGGTATGCTCGTCCAAAGAAGCCTCCAAACTGGGCTTCTCCAACTCAAATAATGTCGGAAAAGGGAAAGTCAGTCATTGCAAATATAGCAAGTCTTCATTCAAGTCAAAAGAGTCAAATAAGACAAGTGAAGATCCGGTTCTCTTCAACGCCACCACTTCCATGCATGCTTTTACCACCACTAGAGAGGAGTTGAATTAGGATAGTGTTATGAAAACATGACTCCATATCATTTTATTCTCAAGGATTTTTAGCCCTCCCATGGCTCCAATGTAGTCACCGTTGTTGATCTTGGCAAGGTCTCTATCAAAGGCGTCGGCAAGCTTGAGTTTGAAAAGGATGGTAATTCATTTTGTGTTAACAAAGCTCTGTTTGTTCTTGACATGGGAGCTAATTTTCTCTCAGCCGGTCAACCTGAAGAGAAAGGTGCCTCTGTTCTCTTGCACGGGCGGAAAGCCAAAGTGTGGGATAGTACAGGAAACCTCGTGGCTGAAGGCGAGCGTACCTGACGACTTTACAGGATAAAGTTTGAGAACCATGGTCTTAGCATGACAAGGAGTGTCGTTGTCTCGCTTCCCGCTGTCTCCACCAATCCAAGCATCACTAAAGGGAGTCCTCCCAACTCACCCATCACTGCACCTTTATCAGAAAGTGTTGTCGGCTATGTACACTCTTCACTCGCATCTCCCGTGTTGTCCCATGAAACTCGGTAATGGGTGCAACGAGATTCATGCGATAGCTGTGTCTTAGCCTCCTCTCCACTCAGCACCTCTCCTCTGTGGTGCCTAACCTGGTTCCTTAACGGCTTTGCCCATCCTGCGCTTGTACGTGAGGAGACCCGGCTTCCTTGACTGATGCCCCCTCGCGGTCTGCTCTGCGCCCCCGCTGCTTGGCCGCGAATCTGATGCTCAGGCGACGCTCGTTACATGGTCCTGAACCGCCCTCCCTTGCACATTCTGCAGCGTCAGGACCCCTGACTCCTTCTTCCCTCACACGACCCATTGCTGCTTGCTCAGGCCACACTCCGGCATGTTCCGCCTCGTCTCCTTCAGGTACACCTCATCCCTGATCTGTAGCTCAGTCGTGCATCTAGGGCCAGTGCCTTCTCCTTCCTTCCACTGTCGGTAGCACCGAGCATCACGGAGCTGCGCTACTTCCAGATTTTCCAAGGCTGAGGGCAGCGCGCTGCGCAGGTAGCTAGCGCGTTTGGCGGCCACCGCCGCCCAGGTCTAGGGGTTGTCTGTGGACACCGACTGCACCATTATCCGCGGAGCGTCCACCGGCAGCACTGGTTCCTTCCCGTAGAGAAAATCATACGGGGAGTAGTCCTTCAGTGCCTGATGCTTGCTAAAGCGGTACCCCGCCGCCACCCATGGCAGATGCTTGTCCCACTCCCTCCGCTCTTCCTCCTCACAATACTTCCTCAGGCCCATATTTAGCGTCTGGACCATCAGCTCTGTCAGGCCATCTGTCTGGGGGTGGTACCGTGAAGTCCGCCTGTGGGTGATGCCCACTTCTTGCAGCAAGGCGTGGAATTCGCCTGAAAAATCGCTACCCTGGTCCGTCAGAACCTCCCCACACGCGTCGAACCTGGTTAAGACTTGCTGGGTAAAAGCCTCTACCACCGCTGCCACCCTCTTCCTTGCCAGTGCCGCCACCTCTATCCACTTGCTCGTGTTCTCGATCATCATGAGAATGCATTGCTTGCCTCGCCAAAGTAGCGGCAGTTCCCCCTCTATGTCCAGCGACCAGCGGTACCCGATCAAGCCAATAGGTAGAGACTGCAGCTCTTCCTTGGTTCGCTCCAGCCTGGCCTTGTTCCTGCTGCATGGTTCACACCTGGCCAGCACTTCCTTCACGGCCCTCCTTAGCCCTGCCCACCAGTACATGGTCTGCAGCATCTGCACGGTCCGCTCCACGGCATAGTGCCCCAGCTGTGTGTGTACCTTCGCGATGAGAGCCTCCCTCTCCTCTGGCCTGGGCACTATCCTCCACCCATCCTCCATCACCAACTACAGCTGGTCTGTCTGCCATCGGTAGTGTACCCCCCGAGCTCGCACCCTCTTAGGCACTTCTTCCCCAGGCCAGCACTGGCTTGTCTTCCCAAATCTCGCGGCTGCCTTTCTCTGTCTCTGCCTTCCATTTTCATCCCTCCTTCTCCACAGCCACCACCATGCAGGTAAGTGCGGCCTCTGCTTGCACCTCTCTCCTCCCGTCTCCCTCTTGCCCCTGCCTAGACAGCCCATCGACATGCTGCAAGGTCTTCCCCCGTCGATGCTTCATGTCAAACTCAAACTCCTGTTGGTGCATGGCCCATCGAGCATTCTGGCCCTTCAGGGTCTGGTTCATCATCAGCCAGAGTAGTGGCTGGTGATCAGTCACCACCGTGAACCTTCTCCCCTGCAATTAGGGCCGGAACAGTTCTACCACCAATACTGCCGCCAACCCCTCTCCCTCGTATGAGCTATAGTTGCTCTCTGCTGGATTGCATGACTTGCTGGGGTTCGCCACTACCCTCTCCGTCCCTTTTTCCTCCTGGCAGAGCACGACGCCCATCCCATGCTGCTCCAGTCAGTGTACAACAGGAAGGGCTCGTCTAGGGTAGGCAAATTCAATATCGGTGCCGTCTTTACGGCCTCCTTGAGGGTGGTCCATGCTCTTTCCTGCTCTTCCCCCCACTTCCATCCTTCGTCCTCTCTCAACAATTGGTTGCGTGGCTCGGCTGTCTTGCTGAAGTTTTGGATGAACCTACAGGAGCTCAGGAATCCCAGCTGCACTCTCAGTTTGTTGCGATCGGTGGGTGCCTTCAGCCTGTCAACCACCTCCACCTTCACACGCAGCACCGAGAGCCCTCCTTCTCCCACCTGAAAACCCAGGTAAGCCACAGTCTTAACCCCGAAGTGGCATTTCCCCGGATGGCACGTCAACCCCGCCACCTGGATAGCTGCTAAAGTCGCCGCCACGCCCGCTACGTGCTACTCTCCTGTCTGGCTGTAGATGACGACGTCGTCAATGTAGCACAGGGCCCGCGGCACCACCTAGAGGACTTGGTCCATCACCCTTCGAAACTTTGCTAAAGCATTCTTCAGGCAGAAGAGCATGAATTTCCATTCGTAGAGTCGGTAGGGTCCGTGAAACACAATCTTGGCCTTATCTTCTTCCTTGATGGGGATCTGATTGAATCCCTGGCGGAGGTCCAAAGTCGAGTAGATCCTCCCCTCCGCCAGCTTGTCAAAAATCTCCTCCGCCATTGGCATGGGGAACATGTTGCTCTTCGTGATGCGGTTCGGGCCCCGATAATCCCCGCACATCCGTCTTGCTAGCATCTCTCCTGTCAAGTCCTTGCGTGCAGCTACCACAGTTGCTTCTGCATACTCTGATGTCGATTCCCGGATCAGGCCAGCAGCCAGCAGCTCGTTGCACTTGGTCACGGCTATGTTGCGATCCCCTGGACTAAGTCTCCACCTCCTTTGTTACACGGGCTCCGAGCTCTGAAGCTTGATCTCCATCTCTGTCCGATTGCACTTGCCCAGTTCTGCCAGTGAATTGGCAAAGCCGCCCCTGGCCTTCTCAAGCACTCCCTTCAGTTCCTATTTCTGTTCCTCCTCCAGCCCCTCCCCTATGTCCCACTGGCTCTCTTCGGGTGGTATGTCCATAAGAGTGGGTACCTCTGCCTCCAGCTCTTCGTCTGTATATTGCCGCTCCTCCGTCTCCTGCGTTGCTCTCGCCAAGAGGCTAATGCTGAAGCATTCTTCATCCCGCCTGCCTTCCTCCCTTGCCTCTGCTTTCATCCTTTGCCATGCTTCCGCTATGTCCATGGCTTGCACTGGGTCTGCCTCTAGCATTTCTTTTATGTCCCTCCACCTCCACAACATCAACAACTGTTTGCGCATCAACTCATTGACACTAGACCCTTCTCTGCCCGGTACATCAGCCATACCAGTGCGTGCTGATCTATTGCCCCCCCTAGAGCTCCCCTCCTCTCTGCTTCCGTCACTCCTTCTACTGCCGTTGCGTTTCTCAAGCGTTGCCCTGGTATACAAAGCTGACAGAAGCCGCCCAAACGGCCTGCTCTTATTGCTCCCATGGGCTTTAATCTCCACCGTCTCACTCTGCCTCACCACCCCCACATTAAAGCCCACCTCAACGAGCCTCCTCACGTGCACGTGCAGTCAAAACGTGGGAATCGAAGTCGTCAGAAACGCCCTGTCCATGTGGTAGTAGATGCCCAAAACCCGCGCCGCCACATCAGTGTCGGCCTCGAAGAAGCGGTACTTGTATCCCACCTCCACCAGTAGAAGCACGTCCGGGTGGCGCCGCTTTAGAGCCAACACCTGTTCCTCTAACGGGGTCAGCTTCGTGCTTGGCAGGGGCAGGCTTATACCGGGGATGAAATCGGTACCTGGCTGTAGCAGATACAGGGGCAGCAGAAGGGAGAGTGGAAGCAGCAGCGGCAGCAGCAGCAGCAGGGAGAGAAGGATGAGAGTTAAGGAACTTGGCTCGAAATGTTGAGACAGGGGAGCAGTAGGTGTGAGAGCAGTGGCTGCGGAGGCAGCAGCTGCAGCAG